CGGCTCTTGAAATCCATAAGGATGAATTTCTTCGATTTTTCTTCATGGGGCACAAGAGTAGATTAAAGTGGTATAGCCATAGCTAGAACCGCACTTGTTGCACCATTTGTGGTTTGACTAGAATTGGTATCCATTTCTATTACGAAAATAGAAGGTTAACAAAAAAAAGTAGAAGAAACGAATAGCAAATTATTTGCTATTCAACAAAACTTTCAGGGAAGAATAATCATAATATAACAAGAAAAGTGACACAAAAATTCATCTTAAACTTGTTGATATATGCGTGTGAATGTGCAAATTATGTTCTAAGATATTAAACAAAGAAAATTGCTTACTTGGAATGAAAAGACGAATTACAAAAAATGAAGAATGCAACAATAAAATTGTGGATCGAGACTAGAGTTTAACTCTATCTGCTTAAGATGAATTTGTTTGGCCAAAGTGCTTATGGTGTAGTGACAATTGTCTCCAAGATTTGATAGACTTCTCTTCACAGTAGAAACACTTCAAACGACAAAAAATAATAAACTTGAAATTGTATTGCACTCTATGCTTTGAAAGAGTTCTGATGTAAGAAAACTTTGATTTATGCAATGAGTTGGTATAATGTAATCAACACATATGATTATGAATGATTTGAAACCATCAAGAGGATTCAATTTATAGAGATTGAGGGGTTGTAGTCGGAGAGACACACCCCAAAGATCAGCATGTTTCACGAACAGTCTTGTTTAGATTGCTCACTGTTCACCAGCTCAACTACTCAAGCATTTTTATTTTATTTCATTTATTCAACCTCAATTTTATAGTTCAATTTCTCATTCATCCGGAAGTTATTTTGCAAATCTAAATATATTGCAATCATCTACTCGAGGAGTAGAACGTCTTTGCCTATTCATACGCACGAATTGACTACCAGAATCTATTTGAATATTTGGTCGAAAGAGATACAAAATAAATTTTATTAAACCAATTTCCAACATAATTGTCTTCAAGCAATCGGAAATTAGAAATGAATACATAAATTGTAGAGGAAAATTAGAAATGTTCCTGATTTTCTTTATATAATTCCAGCATAATTTCCAATTTCTAACATGCATGTCAAAAATTGTATCACATTATTTTCATGCTACAACATGTATGCTAGTAACATATTTGCTATTATGGAAAAAAAAATAGAAATACTGCTGAAATTATATAAATAAAATAATGGAAATAAACTTTAACAATAAAAATAGAGGAAAATTTTGTTGATGTTGTACCGGTATTGAAAAGAATTGAAGCATGTATTACCCACAGCTTCCTTTAAATAGATTCGCCCTGACTATGGTGCAAGAGGACTGATGGCGTATGTCTATTAGGATACAACGGATGAAAGTAGTTAACTAGTACCTCGTTACTATTGTAGGCGAATTAAGTAAACCCACGATTCTATAACCGAGCTAGAAAATACTTATCTAAATTACCAAGAACAAGACTATTGAAAAGGAGATGATAGAGAAACTTAGAGAGTCTCAATTAACTATGGAATTGAACAAATTCAAATACAAATTAATTATGAAATGGAATAGACTTGAAACCTATGAACTGTTTTTACAATTTCATTCAATTTATTTTTATTTTTGAACATTTTCCAACATTTGCTACCCTCTCAATCAATCTTGCGAATAACTCAACATATTATCCCTCATTTTGCAATCGACAAGCTCATTTTAAAATTGTTCAATCTCATACATTTTTATTTTTTTGATAAACTAAACATGGATCGGAAAATTATTCTTGCAATTTGTTTCTTTTCCTTCTTCCGCCATCAATGATATTAGATTAGAAATATGTTACTTGTATATAATATAGTGTCCATAACGGTATTTATCCCCTCACATTGAAGGGGACTCACTTCAAATAAATTATATTTTATTCGAAGTGGGTCTCCCTCCATGTGAGGAGAGTGAACACCCAGATGTACGTGTAGCATCACTCATTGGATTATTGCACGTTTTTCAATTGTGCTTGTACCAGCATTTATTACATTTAGTTAATTGCTTCATCTACAACGGTTGTATGTGCATTCTTGAATAACTAATATCAGACTATTTTATTTATTGTTTTTCATTTCATATTACCATCGTAATTGTAAGAAGATATTAACGGACTCCATACCTAAAAAATGGAAATGCAAAAGAACGGCGTATAATAGTGTCCGTAACATGATTTAAAGCCAGAGACATTCGGTATGAAAATTTTAACACGAATTATCCTTATACCCTTGAGATTAAGTCATAATATTATTCTAGGCATTGAATTGAAATACTTTTATTTTATTAGACACGCTCGGTCTTGTCTTTTGGGCATATCTAAACAATGAACAATTGGTGGATACTCGTGGATCATACTTGATGTGTTGGAGTCCAAGTAGGATTAGGTTATCACCGAAGTTGTGCCTTTACTGTGTATTCAGGTTGTCTACGAGGTCATGCCTTGAGCTAAATCGTAGGCCGATCATGAGGCTCCTCTACGTAGATTTCGAGCTATGAAGGTCTCATGGGAGACCAGCAAGGTGACCTCGAGGTCGATGCCCCTAAAGAAATATAGATCTGAAACTATTATTACTAAGTGCAAATTGTAATGTCCGGAATAAGTCATGATCTATATCGAGACGCCACCCACAAATCGTGGGTATTAATGAGCGAGTCATGGTGCTAACTTTGGGGTGGAAAACCCTCAAGGTCAAGTCACCTTTTACTAGGAAGCAGGGTGGAAGTCCATACACGTATTAAAACTTGATGTGTCATCTTTAAAGGGTCAACATTTTTAAGATAATTAGTTCGAATCATTATATGTTTATTATCTTTAATCAGCTGTCGAATTTTTGAAGAAAAATCGTTAGAGGTCCTCCGCAATTCATATATTGAAATGTTTGAGACCTAAGATAATCACACTGCATATTTTCCAAAGATTTGAAACATTCTATTGCA